AAGATAAAAATGTGGTAAACATTAAAGTCAAATATCTTATCAGTATAGAAAATACTATTTAATATAATATACTTGTAAGTATATTATTATTATTATTAACTATTATTAAATAGAAACAATATAGTATTTCTTGATATACATTCACAAAATAGCATCCAGCGATATATGACAATAGTATTGTAGATGTGAAGAGTAAATACCATAGCCACGTATATACTCTCTCTCTTATTTAGACACGCATTCTATCTCATGCATCTATCGAGATGATTATTGAACTATACCGTGAATTTTTTTTAAAACTAGTTTTTCATTCAAAGCATAGGGGTGTCATCGTTTGTTTTAGTCTTTTGATATTTCTAGCAGGATTTATAGAATCTAAACATCAAGATTCAATTTTTGGTAAAGAAGGTTTACGTCATTCTTTGAAAAAGCTCAAAACTATTTCTAATAAACAGTTGTTGACATTTCAAAAAGATATTTCAGTCCAACTGAGCAATGCTTTATGTAATTTTATTATGGTATAATGACGTCATGTAGAAAACTAGAGTTTTCTAAAAAGAACGATTAAATGATTTTCTGCGATGTACTGTCATTTGTAATGAAAACGTGTGAGAAACAAAATGTGAAAATCTATATTCGTATTCCTGTATATACTTAGATAAAGTGATACATATTTTAAAAGCAGCAAGTATCACATTATTTATTGACAGAGAATCAATATGAATGGAAGAAACGATCTATTGCATTAAAAAGTAAGATTAGACATGAAAAAACTTAAACACCAAAGTTGTCGTCCATATCGGAGAAAATAAGCAATGATCGGCAGACTGATCGTAAGATCTAAATAAAAATTGTGTGAATAAAAAATATGATATATAAAGTCATAGACAATAGTTTTTTTGATATCGATGTATCTTCTTCATTGAATTACGATATCTTTACAAATATTTTAATATTATCAGACGTATTAGAGGCACATTTTTAATTATCCAGGCTTCTATATTAATCTAGCGCTTCCATTGTTGTTGTTTTTATTTGATCCATATATATTTTCATCCACGAGAAAATTTTTAATGAGTTTTAATAAGTTTTCTTTTTGAATATAATATTGAATGAAACATAATTTATTTTTGAAATGATTTATTTTTGAAACAAATAATAAATCATGCATATATTTTTTTACTAGGATAAAGAAAACATAAAATAAGAACAAATTTGCAGATCGATAAAAAAATTGACATAGTATCAGGGTTGCCAAATTCATACTTTAGAAATCAGAGTACTTTCCAGAAAAAGCAGTAGTAGATCAGGGGATTTTGTTTCAAAAAACAGGCGAAAATAGCAAGGATCATATATCTTTCTTTCAAAGGAACGAATTAGTCCTCCTACAAACAGTTCTGATATTTTCTGTCAAGTGAGTAATAGAAATGTTTGTCTTTTAAGTAAAATAACGAGAAGTATAATTGATATAATGCATATCAATATGCTTATAAACTGATCATTCATTTTAACCTTTTATTAAGAATCACAAGAGTATATTGATGATTCGGTTTCTTTCATTACTTCATAAATATTTCATATGAATAGAAATTGATTAACAATAAGCATTGCATACAAGTACTGAAAAGAAAACTGAGCTTGTTTTCGAAGATTGTGCACATTACCATCGTAGAGAATAATTATCTATCTTAACTATTAGTCACTGATCCTCACCCACATTTCCATGATTATATTCTTTTAATAAAGAAGGTTTTTTTGGAACTTTGATCTATGGCGACGAAGAGTTAATCGAGTTTCTACTATTTTCGTTGAAATCGTGTTCGCGTCATTTACGAAGTGAGCTTGCAATAAGTACTAAAAATCAGGAACTTTGACAATTCTATATAATATAAAACCTTTACAAAAATCATAAGCTTATTGTAGAAAAATAATTTCTACAAATATTTTCATACATACCAACAATGGCAGCATCCACAAATATATTATATATTTCCATCATTAATTCAGTTTATGCGCTCGAAATTACACAGATTTCTACTGTCGAGGAGTGCGAAGGTAAATATAATTATGGACATCTAGACTGATGAAAACTTATGTTTACATGAAATAAGATATTTTAATTTATTCAAAAAATCTAATAAATTGATGTTGAAAAGCAACAAAAGAATCATTCATATACATGTTCAGCGAACCACGTATCAGTGACTCAAAGAGCAGTTGGGATAAGGTAGACGAAAGTTTGCCAACAATGAGTATGTATCGAACTTCAAAAGTTTTACCATCACCGAATGAACAATTTTCTCCAACAACGCGTCCATCTGATGTTCAGGCATTAGTAAGATACAATAATAATACACCATACTCGTATCCACCAGCTCTACGAGAATCATGGGCACCAACTATAATGACACAAAATCCATATCCAACCGATGCAGCGAAAAAGTAAGTACTAAATATCTCAATAAAACTAAAATAAAAATATTATCTTCTATACTTTTAAATGAAAGATCCATGCTTCCAAGTAAAAAGTATATTATAATAGCATCTTTAATAGGAGCTGTTGTTGGTTTGTGTATTTCTGGCATTCCATTAGCCGTTATGACTACATTGTATTTGCAATTGAGTAAGTTTAACAGTATGAATAATAGATAATCATAAAAAAGTTAATATTTTCTATTTTAGAATCTCAAATAAATTCTAATGGAACGGCAGGCACAAGTAGTATGTGATATTTCTTGGAAAGACTATCAAATTTTTTCCTTTTTTCTAATAAAATAATATAGGTTCTAGTAGTTTACCTTCCCAATGTAGTGCTTACACAACAATTTCCGATGTAACACGCCTTACTACATGTACTGGTACTTACAATTATGATTGTGGTTGGACAACTGGATGGTATCGATTTTCAGGAAGTGGTGGTACTCAGTTAGCTACAACTCCGAGTAGCACATTATATTGTTGCACACAATATCCGGGCTGGTTGAATGGCACTCTTCCATCCACTTCTGGTACAACAACAGTGGGTATGTACTGTGTTAATTATAGTGGCAACTTGTGTTATAGTTCATATTCGATTTCCACGATTCTTATAACAAACTGTAATGGCTATTATGTCTATTATCTGACGTCTTTTTCTTATTGTGGTATTTCCCGATATTGCACTACGACATGATAACTTTACTAATATCAATCGTCCATAGACATACTACTTACTTTGTCAAAAGATAAATTTTTAATTTTGCTATATATATCTTATTTAATCTGGCTTTCAATTTGCTCTCGAATAAATATACGATCTAAAATCATTTTTGCAAAGATTTGATTATATTACTAATAATTCACAAGCCGAAATAACTATTTTTCAAGTGAAGACTAACTCATCATATTGTAAGAGCTATGTACAAATAGTTAACTAAATTAGTCTAAATATTATCAGGCTAATCAAATATAAAATTCGTAAAGTATCTGTACAGAACATATTATTGGATTTGGAATAATATGAATACGATTTGTATGCAAATAAAACGAATCACATCATGTTGTAAGACCTTTATTCGATATAAAATCGAGTAGAAATTAGAATTTCATGTCAATCACGTGAATTTGTATAATATACTAAAAATAATTCAATAATATTGATCAAAAATCTTTTCAAAGATTTCTTTTTTCATCTCGTCGAAATATATATAATTAAAATGCTGATCATATATTGTATTGCTTAGTTCGTTTGTTTTCAATATAATATGAATAAGTGAAAGGTTTCAAGAAAGAGAAAAAAATATATTGTTGTTACTATTATTAAGTCAATTTTGTCCTTAAAAAACAATATGAGTATCTTGAAAGAAACTTTTATGAACTATATTATTAAAATTATTTATTTTGATAGGAAAAAATTATCCTTGATTCAAATGACATGTGTGCCACTTACATTTAATAATTATAAGAATATTTTCATACTAGTACATGTAATATACTAATAAAAATCGACTAATGTTTTCGAACAAAACATGAAAAAGTTGATATCCGTTACTATTTCTGATATCGTTAGCAATAAATATCGCTTGGAAACTTTTCCAAAAATTTGAGAGCTAGATAACTAGTGAAATTCTAGCAATAACGATGAAGTTCAATTCGGTATCTACTATTTATTTCTCAAAAACATCTTCAACTCAAATAAGAAGGATTGCGAGTGGCTGAACATGATTTGAAATATCTAAGTTATCCCCGTAAGATTGACGGTCCATCCTTAATCAATGACCTTTGATCTGTAACCTTTAATCAGGTATTAGACAAACACTGGACCTATTTATTCGACTCAGATTGAACAGAAATGGAAGGGAACGGCTCAAAGTGTCTGAATGAGATTGTCTCTCCTTGTTGAATGTTGTTCTACTGAACAGAGATAGCAAAATTTGAAAAGCTTTTTAATTTGTCTTTATAGTAGCGTCGATTCAGTCTACATCAACAAATGAGCAGTGTACTAATTGTATTTTTCATAATCTACTTAAAAGCTTTTCTCTAATCGTATTATAAAGACCATAAAGTTAATGTTTATTTTACATATATATTGTATTTCTATTGTGGTTTTCTCACTCATATTTAATATGGTAACCGATATGGAACGACATCTTTGATCGAACATGTAAGAGCGTGTTTTCATGACGGAGAGATGAGTCATAACCTATATATTTTCTTTTCTTGATGATTCTGGATACTGGACAGATAAACTTACATATTTGAAACTACTAAACCATATATGTATATATACGCCTATATATATATGTAGTGAGTCCGCCTCTGTAATGCACCGAAATAAAATGAAATTTCCAGAATCACTACAATCGTGTGATTTTAACCCTGAGTCATATAGTACAAATATAGTCATAAGTTTCGAAATTACAACTTCCCCTACGTAGGCATTGTAGTAACTGAAACATATATATATTCAGTTATTTTTTACTTTTAAATAATTTCAAAATTCATTCTATTTTAGAAGAACAATGACAGAAAGTTTCGCTGCATCAAATCAACCTGAAAATATACATTTGCAAGATACATATTCAAATTCTAATAATAACGATAATAGTCATAATCACAGTAGAAAACAAAAACGTCGCCCAATGCAAACAAGTTCGCAAGACGCTCGCTATAGCCATCGAGCACAACAACAACAACAACAACAGCAACAACAATCACAACAACAACAATACCAACATCAATATCAACAACAACAATGGTATCCAAATAATATGTATTATGATGACTATTATTATGGGCAACCACCTTCACGTGGAGGTCGCTACAATCACAATCAACATCCTCAAAATCATCAAAATCATCATCAACAACAACGACGACCACAATTCCGTCATCCAGCTTCATCACAGTCACATCAACAAGTAACTACTCGTCCGAATAGTAATTCATCAGGACGAACAACTGTTGAAGCAGAAAATCTTCGTTCAATATTAAACGAACAATTATTAGAAAATACTTATGAGTGTATGATATGTATAATTAAAATTGAGTAAGTTTCTTATTTTTATCGTAAAGAAAAATATAGATAGAGAATTTATTGATATTTTTATTTTCACTTTAGTCGACATGAAGAAATATGGTCATGCGATATATGTTATAAAATGTTTCATTTAAATTGTATTAGAAAATGGGCTAATTCAGAAGAAAGTGGTACAGATAAGAATTGGCGTTGTCCAGGCTGTCAATATTCTTATTCAACAAATCCAATTTATACCTGTTTTTGTCATAAACGTGTTAATCCAGTATTTCAACCTGCTGATACACCACATTCATGTGGTGCTGAATGTGCTAGACGATTAAATATAAAATCTAATGATTGTAATCATCGTTGTTCAGAGTAAAAATATTTCTTCAATTTAAGATTTATTTTATAATATTTGTATCTTTTTTTCTTCTATTAGACTTTGTCATCCAGGTCCTTGTCCAACATGTACAGCAATGATAAAACGTTCTTGTTTATGTGGACGAGAAACTCGTACTATTATGTGTAGTTCAAATTTAATAATTAAATGTGAAAATAAATGTGGAAAACGTAAATCTTGTCGACATCACAATTGTGAATTGGTATATATTAATTGATATATTGAAATCATTTTTTTTATTTATGATTATTAAATTTTTTTAGATTTGCCATCCACGAGAATGTGAACCATGTGATCAATTAATTAAACAAACATGCTCATCACATGGAACTGAACGAGAAGTTTTATGTACTTCGGAAACTGGAGGTACAACTACATTTACATGTGGTGAATCATGTGGAAAATTACTTCAATGTGGTCATCATAAATGTACAAAAACATGTCACGATGGACCATGTCCTGATTGTTTATTACTACCAGAAAATTGTAAAACATGTGCATGTGGAAAAACAACTATGGATAATCACCAACGAACATCATGTCTTGATCCAGTATGATTAAAGAAAAACTAGATAGAATTAATTTCGATAAGAAACTCTTTTTTTTAGTTACCAACTTGTGAGAAATCATGTGAAAAAATTCTTTCATGTGGTCCAATAGATGATCATCATCGATGTTCAGCTCAATGTCACAATGGATTATGTCCACCATGCGATAAACAATCAATTCTTCAGTGTCGCTGTGGACAATCAAGTAAATCTACATCATGTATAGAAGCTGCACAGTATGATCCAATAAGAAATCCATTTTGTTGTGAACGACGATGTAATAAAAAGAAATTATGTTTAAAACATCGGTTAGTTATTGTTATTTTTGTATCAAAAAAATTTAAAACAATATTATTATTTTTCTTTTTTATAGATGTAATGAATTATGTTGTGATCGTGATATTCATGTTTGTGAAATAGTCTGTGGTAAACCACTTAATTGTGGTGTTCAGTATGTATTTTTAAAAACAAAAATGAAAAGAAAAAATACTAATATTCTATACTCTTTTAGTCAATGTGAAGAATTATGTCATAAAGGGTTTTGTCGTAAATGCCCAGTAAATAGTTATGATGAATTAACATGTCATTGTGGACAAACTATTCTTCAACCACCTATTGCATGTGGTACACAACCTCCAGTATGCAATTATAAATGTAATCGACAACATACATGTGATCATCCAGTTTATCATAGTTGTCATAACGAAAGTGAATGTCCACCTTGTACACATCTTGTTTCAAAAATGTGTGTTGGAGAACATACATTACGTAATAGTGTAAGTAAAGATTTTTATCTATTGTTAAAATATTATATTGAAAAAAATTATTTTTTTCTTTCGTTTAGGTTCCTTGCCATTTAAGAGAAGTACTTTGTGGTCAACCATGTGGTAAACCACTTCCATGTGGAGTTCATACATGTCAACGTGCATGTCATTCGGGTCCATGTCAATTAGTTGATCAAAAATGTACACAACGATGTACTATAAAAAGACGTGAATGCGGTCATCCTTGTAATGCACCATGTCATGGATATGAACCATGTCCCGTAAAAACAACATGTCGAGAAACAATTAAAAGTCGTTGTCCATGTGGTCGACTAGTAAAAGATATTGTTTGTAATGCGAAATCTAATGAATCAAATGAAGGAAGAGATGATAATGATTTAACTCAATCGCTTGTTCAAGCATTCTCTGTTCGTACAATAGATTTATCACTGGCACGAAAACAACAGCATCAACCAGTACAATTAGAATGCGATGATGAATGTCGTATTATACAACGAAATAAAAATTTAGCTCAAGCTTTATCAATTAATCCCGATGAATCACGACAAACACCACTTGTTTATACAGATTTTTTACGTGATTATGCAAAGAAAAATTTAGAATTTGTTAAAACTATTGAACGACAATTTACAGAACTTGTTGAAGATACTCAACGTCATCGTGTTTCAAAACGATGTCATTCATTTAAACCAATGAAAATCAATGAACGTCACTTAATACATGAATTAGGATCATTCTATGGTCTTGAAACACAAGCAATGGATCCTGAACCAAATCGAAATGTTGTTGCATATGCATCTTATGGCATGTGTAAAATTCCAATAATTACATTGAGTGAAACAATTCGACGAGAAAAACTAAAAGTACCACCTCCTATAACACTAATACAAAACTAGTATACATATATATACATATAAATATATTGTTATTCTTAGATATAAGTAGTATTTTATTTTCATTTACGTTTGTTTTTCTGTTTATTCTTTTCATATTTTGTTGAAATAAAAAAAAACTGACTCAATATATCTATCTATCTATCTATTAATAATCTTATTTTCAATAGTACAAGAAATGAAATGAAATAATAAAAGGTATTTCTTAATTTTAATACTACAGATATATCGCTTTTCTTTTCTTGTTGTTAGATTATAATTTGTAGAATAGATTTAAATATGTATTGTCGATCATTATTGGTAATTTCTCGACTTAATATAAATACATCTAATATTGCAAATCGATGTTTAATAACATCATATAATAATAAATTATTATGTTTTTCTCAACAACAAAATCGTTACTTGTCTGATGATATGTCAAATAAAAGACCACCTGGTCGTATACGTCGATTCTTTCGTTGGTTCATAGGGAGAAGTAATTCTGTAGAATCGAAACCATTAACAACTTCAGATTCAACAACATCACTAACAACAATGCAACAAATAAAACGTTTTCTTGCACTTGCTTCACCAATTGAACGTCTTTTTATTCGTTCACATATAATTGAAGATGCGGATTTAGCACGATTAATATCAAAAACAGCTGCAGTTACAATCTATGCATTTATTGGTATTACTACACTTGGTACATTAGGTGTTGATACGAAACCATTACTAGCTGGTATTGGTATAACAGGTTTTACAATTGGTTTTGCGCTTAAAGAAGTAGCTACAAATTTTATATCAGGCGTTTTTCTTGTTATAAATAAACCTTTTGTTCGAGGATGTCGAATTAAAGTTCATGGAGGTGGTGGTGGAATTGAAGGTAAATTTATTTCAATTCTAATAGAATTATTTGTAATATTTTAAAACTAAAAAGGTCTGGTTCATTATATTGATGTTCGATATGTACATTTAAAGACTAAAGATCGTATGTTATTCATTTATTTTTTTATACAATTACATATCGAAATTGTTTGTTTTTTTCTTATATTCTATAGGTGGTATTGTAATGATACCGTCAGCAGTTGTTTATACAAATCCATTCACTGTTTTTCCAGCTGATGATGAAGCTAATGCAGGCTTTATTGATATGACTAAACCACCAGCAACTGATCCTACACAACCTATTGAATCTGAATCAACACCTATATTCAAACCTAGCGATGTAAAAGAAGCAAAATTAAAAATGAATTTAAGTACAGAACCAGCTGGTTTATTTAAAAAAAAGCCATTACGTGAAAAACAACAAAAATAATTCTATTCTTTTACTCTAGCAAGTTCTTTTTTTTTTATATAGCAATTTTTTTCTTCTTCTTCATTCCATACATCTTTTAATACTAGTAAAATACTCAAATTGTCTTTCTTTTTTTTAAGCATGAATACATGTAATTTAAGCTTGTGATAAAATATAGACATTTGCATATGTATATATTTATTTAAATATATGATAAATAATTCATTATTTGTCTTGTCCTTCAGGAATAATTATACTATCATCACGATCGAATATTGGTCGTCCAATAGATTTTTTACGATAATTCTCATTAAAAACACCACGTGCCCAAGCTAATGTTTCATTACATACTTGCATAGCCCAATGTGCTTTACGGGGTTGTACAAGCCAGTCAGGATCATTTATAATTAAATCAAGTGTTTGTGCAACTTTATACCACTCAACAAGAAGTTGACCATTTATAACCATGTCTCCACCATGTGAACGAATATATGAAATAATCGAAGATAATGTTGGAAATTTTCGTGTTCCATTTGTTTTAATTTCAACAATAGATTCTGTTGCACGTAAAACCATTAATAAAGCTGTTTTTGTTATTGTTGTTGCTAATTTTACTTGTTTTAAATCATCATTATTAAGGTCAAGCATACGATTAAATGTACGTTTTAGATCAGAAAAATTTTCACTTAAATTATCTAAATTAAAATTACCAGTTTTAGCAAATAAAAGTTCATGTTGAAAAGATTTAACATGATCAGCTTGTATTTCAACAGATTCTATAACGACAGCTTCTCGTTTATCCGCTACTGGAATATCAAATGCATATTGTCGTAATTGTTCATTTTTTTTAAGTTCTGTATTCTGACGAAGTTGATCAGCAAGTGCAAGAACATGAAACCAACGACTACGAGCAAATGTAGTTGTTTGCTTATCATTAGGAATTGAATGATCATGATTGTTATTTGATATTGTTGATACTTTATCCATTTTCCTATAAGAAATAATACAAGCATTAATAGAATTTAAAATACGATTATATCAAGTATAAAAGACATAAAACGAAATAATCAAATGTCTTTCTTTTTGATTTATTACTCACATGTTTTTCTTCTTGTTTTCGTCTTCGTAAGTTAAACTTTCTGGGTATACGTTCGATACTGTTTGCTCTCGAGTAGGTTATGCGATACACTCATAGCCCTTATATATATATATATATTTTTCCTTCTCTTCTTTTTTTCTACATGAAAAGTATTTATTAAATACTACAGAACAACTATTTTTGTTATTGCTACTATTGCATTAGACAATGCGTCAATACATTTATACTCAGCTTCCTTAGTCTGTAGGACGAGAAAAAATAAGACATTGTTGTATTTTATATAACTTTGTCGAAAAAAACGCTTTTTCCTGTTAGGTTTTTATTTTCTATACTGTGTATACGAGTGGTAGGTCAAAGCACTACATGTGGTTATCCGCAAACTGAGAAGATATGTTAATATGTGAACTAGATTTCAATCTATAAAATGTAAAACATAATATTACTAGCCTATTTATATATATTAATTAGTATTCTTAGATGATATTTCATAGAAGATAATAGATCATAAATAATCATATTACAATTGTTTGTAGCTCAAATAGAGAACAATTACGTTACATTATTTCTGATCTTTACTTCCAACTGTCATAAATTTTATATGGGGTAACTAAAAGAAAAAAAAAGATGAAAAATTGATTTACGTAATTTCGATTTTGGTCAAATTACACTATAGCATTGCTTTGCCCTTAAAGCATAAATACAGACGTCTTATATGATAAGGAAAGAAAAACAGAATCAAACATTATTGCTATTTATCGATTGACTCATGTTCTGTTTCATTGGTAGTTTCATGATTGTAAAGTTTGTATATGATGCCTATTTGCCGTTTATTATTTTCAATGATAAGATGTATATAGAGAACATAAAGAAAAGTGCTTCAGAGATATGAGAAAATGTCAAAGATAATAACGTCGATTAATGCTAAATAAAACATCTCAAAATAAATCTTAATTGAATAAAAGAATAGTTTTGATAATAATCAATTAGGTATATAATGCAATAATAAAAATCTGATTAAAGTTTCTAAAACGTCACTTAAATAAATAAACAATATAATAGATTTTACTACTTGTCAATAAATTATTCAATAATAAATTAAGCTAACGTGATATGAGTAACTATAAAAAACTAGAGAACATGATAAAAAAAAAATAAACAAAAATGATTTCAATTTGAAACAGATCGACTATGATGCTATGAGAGAATTTTTTATTTTTTTATAAAATTGAGAATAAAATCAGTATAATTAGTTTTAATTTCGATCTTATAGTACATTTGGTTGATATCAAAATTTGCTATTAGCAAATTCTGATCATCATTGTAATTTTTAATTGTATAATAATGAAAGATATCATTTACTGACTCATGAAGTGTACGCCCAATAAACTCCATGAAAACTATATAAATATATCTTATCCTTCAATTACTGATATACGCATGCAGGATGAAATAAACAAGAAAGAAGAAGATACACTTGAGTGATTTTTACTCATTGGATTATTATTATTATTGCTATTATCGTCATATTATCATTTATTTATCAGCTTTTCTACAACTAACTCTTTCTAAGAAAAATATAATGGGTTCAGCTGCACATAAACAAAAACATGCAGGAGGTCAACCACAAGTTGCTGGACAACAACCTCCTCCCCAACAAATGCCCATGCAACAGGGAAATGTTCAGCCTGCACCAGTCCAACAGCCAATGCAGCAAGGACAAACTTTTGCTCCTCAACAGCAACCAGTTATGGTTCCAATGCCACAGCAACAACAACCGGTTATGGCTCCAATGCAACAACAGCCAGTTATGGCTCCAATGCAACAACAACAACAGCCAGTTATGGCTCCAATGCAACAACAACAACAGCCAGTTATGGCTCCAATGCAACAACAACAACAGCCAGTTATGGCTCCAATGCAACAACAACAACCAGTGATGGTTCCAGTTCCTCAACAACAACCAGTTATGGCTCCAATGCCACAACAACAACAACCATTTATGGATCCCCAGCAACCTATGATGATGTCTAACGCGCCTCAACAACCACCTCAGATGTTCTCACAGCCAGCTCAAGGTGGTTATATGTAATAACTCATCTATCTAGATCTATAAACTATTACGTAACTTTCTTTTCTCTACTTATACCTGCATATATACAATTATTTATTGTTACATAGAAATCATTCATTTAATCCAAACGTTTTCTTCTGTATTTATCTATCTGTATATAAAAATAGAAAAGAAAAACAATATTACACAAAAATGTTCTGTTTATGACAAATAAAATCAATTTCAAATAAATCTTTTGCATATACTATCAGCATTGTTTTCAAAATTTGATATTGGTTGATCGACTTGAAGCCATAAATAATACACACTCATAGTAAAAACATTTTTGATAATAAAATAAATAAAAGAAAAATTGCAAATAATTAACTTGAGATAATTATAATTATAATGTTGATAAAATTTTGAGAAAAGAAAAGAATAATATGACACCAGTTTGTCCAACACCAAGTATAAAACAAAAAAATGGTTTTATTTCCACTGATGCAGCATAGAATATAGCTGAAAGAAGTGCACCTAAAAATAAATATACAAGCAATAATATTTCTATTCCTTCAAAGATATATAGATCTGCATACTAGTAAGAGCTGATGGAACAATTGGTGTAATGATTCCAGCTAAAGCAATAAGTACTGCATACCAACGACCAATTTTATGACTTCTCAATGATATAATAGCAACTACTGTAGCAATTAAATGTACAACTATGGATGTCATAAAGCACCAAAGAAAGATTTCAACCCATATATCTAAATTAGTAATAGAATTGATTAACAAATAAATAATAATACTAGTCTACCTCCAAATTCAACTAGACGATGTTTTGGTGTTAATTTTAATGAATCAAGAAATCGTTGAAATGATAGCTCTTTTACTAATTGAGGCATTCAAAATGTTGTTTATTCAATGTGACGGAGTATGTATAAATTATTCCTATATTATTTTATTTTCTTCCTATTCTTTTTTATTCGATCAATATGTATCCAATCATACAATAGATTGTATTCTTTGGAAAGGCTTTTACTAAGTAACATTCTTTAATAATGGTAATACTGTTCATTATTGAATAATTATATAGGTTTCGCTCAGATATAGTTTTATTGAACAATGCGTTTAAAATTTACATTTCCATCAACACTTCAACATACTGATCGTGTTGATTGTGTTGGATGGATGTCAGCAGATGATTTATATTCAGTAGGAGAAGATCATATTATATATAAATATAATATTATACAAAATGAAACGATTAAAATAGCTGAATTAGCACAAGATATTTATGCATTAGATATGCATTGGTTACCAAAAGGAGCAAGTGTTAGTAGTGGTGGACAAGGATCAAGTACAATTTCAGGTGGAAAACGTATAATTGGATCAGATCTTTTTGTTCTAACAACAAGCGATGGTAATAATTAGCTAGATATTTTTCTCTATAATCAAAAGCATTTGAATTTAATTTTTTAGGTAAATTTTGTTTTATTAATAAAACTGGACGAATAGAAAAAAGTGTAGAAGCACATCGTGGTGCAGCTATTTGTGTTCGATGGAGTCCAGATGGTAGTCAATTTGCAACAGGTTATTTTCCTTGTATAGTTTTCTACTCTTCTTTACATGAATTTTAATTTTCAGGTGGAGAAGATGGTCAAGTTCGAATCTGGGCACGATCAGGCATGCTACGTTCGAATCTTGTTCAATTAGGTGAATTTTGTTTCATTATCATTATTTACTTATTGTTAAATGTTAATATATTTAGCAACACCTATATTCTGTGTATGTTGGTCGGCTGACAACGATGCAGTACTTTATTGTGCAGGAAAACATCTTGTTATAAAACCACTTTCACCTAATTTAAAACAAAATTCAGTATAAAAATTTTAATAATTAAAAAATTAAAGTTCATGTATTTTTTATTGTTCAATTTAGTGGAAAGCACATGATCAAATTATTTTGAAATGTGATTGGAATACAGTTAATAATTTAATTATATCTGCTGGCGAAGATTGTCGATATAAAGTAAGTTCTTTTTTCTATTCTTCGTTCTTTTTGTTTAATTTAATATATCATTTATATAAAGGTGTGGGATGCTGTTGGTCGACCATTATTTGCAAGTCATACTTTTGATTATCCTATTACAAGTCTTGCATGGGCACCAGATGGTTCAAATTTTGCTGTGGGTTCTTATAATACAATACGTTTATGTGATAGTGCTGGTGTATGTATTCGATTTAAACTGCCTTAAGAAAACATAGATTTGCCAGTATTCAATGTGAAAGATATAGATGATATCAATTGAGTAATGATCAGTTTTATGCTAATATATTATCACTCTTGAGTTCAACAATCAAATAATTTAATAATATTCGAACTGTGCTTAACTAAGATGTTTTCAAAGTAATCTGCGTTTATTAAGTTTGAGTTGAAAATTTAAAAAAAAATACTAATTAAATGCTCACAGATTGTATTTTTCCTAACAAATATTTTGATCGATGCTCTAATTAATATCAATACAATCATATTTGTTCTATTCTAGTGGTGTCATTCAGTAGAAAAACCTAAAGATGGTAGTATATTTGGTTTATCATGGTCAAATGATAGTACACAATTAGCATGTGGTTGTGGTACAGGTCGAGTTGGAATTGGACATATTATTGAACGGTAATAATTTATTGCATTAGACATCAAGAGAAAAAAACATAATTATATTTATATTTTAGTCGTATCGACTGGCGTCATTTAGAATTTGTTTTAACTGATTCAAAAGTAATAACTGTAAGCAATTGTGAAACAGAATTAAAAGATAAAATAGAACTTAAAGATCGTCTTGTTAAAATGTCTGTTGGTTTTGGATACTTAATTGTTTTAACAAGTAATCAAGGTTTAATTTATAAGTAAAGAAAATAATTAAATAGGATATATATATATAAATTGATTCTTATCTAAATTTATTCAGTTGTAAACAATTAGGTCATCCGGCTCTCTTTGATTTACGTGATATGTCAATGAGTTTAATTGTTCAAGCAGAAAAGTAAGACAAAAACTATGAATAAACTCATGTCTTTTTTTGTAAATTAATTCATATAGATATTTTCTTCTTTCGGATGGAATTAATATTTCTATTTACTCATATGAAGGTCGTCTTGTTTCAACACCTAAATTAATATCATCGAAATCTGATTCAATCAATATCAATACTGTTTCAATTAGTCCTGATACTATTGCTGTTCGTGATGCTATAGATACAAAATGTAAATAATATTTGAAAGTTTTTCATCTATTTTAATCTATTTAATTTAGCTATTATGTTCTATGATATCAGTGGTAAACCGATTGGTGATGGAAAATTAATATCTCATGCTGTAAATAACAATATTTTGTCTAGTATTATATTTATTGTCTTTTGTAGCATGAAATAAATCATTTAGCGCTTGATCAAATGGGTTCAGCTAATGAACGTAAACTTGCATTTGCAGATAAATTTCAAGATTTATTTCTTATGCATGTTCGTGTAACGGGACAAACTCAACGATTGAATCATCAACGAATTCGAAAACTTTGTATATTTCATTTCAGTATACTTATTTAAAAAATTATTTATAAATATATTTTTAGGTACTAATATTGGTAGTTTTCGATGGAATGATCAAAATGGTATGTTAGCAGGTATGGCTGATGGTAAACTCAATATTTGGCTGTATCCAAATGTTGTTTTTATTGATCAAAGTTTAGTTGATAAAACAACATATCGAATTGAAACAAAGTAAATTTATAGATAATTATATATATCTAAATTATTTTGATTATATTAGTGATTTTGGTAAAAATCCATCAATCTCAGATTTTCTTAGTTGTCAAATAACAATTCGTAAATCAACAGGTGCACTGATTCAATGTGCGATACCTATTTATTATGAACTTTGTCTTGCTTTACTTGATGCAAATAGAGCTGAAGAAGCTTTACAATTATGTCAATATATTTCTGTATATATAAATATTCGAAATAAATCAATTAATAATAATGATTTTTATTTAGGATAATTCTATTTATGCATTGATTGCTGTTATATCATTACATAATCGAGATTTTGATTCAGCCGAAAATGCTTTTGCACAATTATCAAACGTAAATATAAAATATTAACAAAAAATCGAAATATTTTACAAAAACTAATTTAGACTGAAATGGTTTTTTGTTTACAAAATCTACGTTCAATTTCATCAAAAGAAGAACGTGAAGCTGAACTTGCATTACTTGCTGGTGGAAATTTACATGAAGCTGAAGGATATTATTTACAAGGAAATAAACCACTTCATGCTATTATGTTACATCTTAACGAACATAATTGGGATAGGTTTGTTTCTAACCTCGCTCAAAAAATCGGAAAAATCAGTACAGATATCTGGAATTTTCTAGTTTTTGAAGACCAGTAGCGTATCGAACAAGTCGAATATTATTATAATTCATCCCGTGAGATACGCCACTGGCCTTCAGAAACTAGGAGACATTAAACTCATTGATACTTATAAATATGAAGTATCATCTCTTTTGTTTTCTAGAGCAATTGATTTAACCCAACGACATCCACAATATTTAGACATAGTTGTAGGTTATCGACAAAAATATTTAAAAAATTATGGTGGTGGTAAAAAAGAAACAAATCAAAAATATATACAAGCAATGAAAACTGTTAGTTATACATTTCTAATTAAAACATACTTATTGTCTTTTCTAGGTTGATATTGACTGGAATCGTATTGATGCAAAACTTCGAAAAGAACTTGGCGAAGATAGTGTTCTGAGAATTCTCGAATAAACATCTCTTCTTTTTTATATTTTAAGAAAAAGAACATTATTGTATAGTACATTTTTTTCATCTTAATATTTTCGAATACATTTATCTAAGGGCAACAAGGAAACGAAATATTATTTCTCATCATTCGTTTTAGATAAAAATTCTAATAATGAATAGTAGTACTCGACGTCGTACAAAAGTTAAAAGTTCATCAACAACTTCAACAAAGTT